GCAAGAGGAGGGAGGGAGGGAGGAGGGCGGCGTCTGACGGGAAGGGTGGGGGTACAGGGATCACTCGATCTTGTTCATGCTGAAGCTGCTGACGATGACGGTGGACGAGATCCATGCAGGGATGAAGCAGATGGAGAAGCAGCAGGCGGAGGTAGAGGGGGTGGGGGAGAAGGTAGAGAGGATGTGCAAGGAGCTAGGGGATAGGATGGAAGCGATGTTCAAGGATGGTGGCAATCAGAAAGGTGAAGCAAAAGTGAAGGTTAGCGGCCTTCATGGTTTGAGATCTATCTCTCCAGTGTCGGTTCGACAGGTTGTTTTATCGTCTCTTGTCTGGTTTGACGGCTGGGCAGGTTGAGCGGAAGGGACCAGGGGACGGAAGGAAAGTGAAGGAAGAAGTGGCTGATGACGTGTCACCAGCCAAGTCTGAGGACAAGAAGAAGGCGAAGCAGATGTTGGAAGAGCCCGTGGCTGTGATGGACGACTGGTGTGAGTCTCATACAAGAGCGGCTCGCGGGGGAAAGGAACTCAAGAAACACAGCTCGCATGTTGAGAAGCGCGTCGTCAAACCCTCCGATGGATCCTCTCATGCTGCTGGGGCCTCTGCTGGGATCATCCCAAGAAGCGGCTCACTCAACGACATGACGCGAGTGGCTGCACAACGTCTGGACGGAGAAGGACGGAGACGAGAGGACGAGGAGAAGAAAGGAGAAGGGAGAGGAGAAGGGAGAGGAGAAGGACGCGAAGGCAAGGGAAGGAGCTCAGCAAAGCTCACGGAGAAGGCCTTGAGCGAGGACATCTTTCAAAAGTCCGCTGACTCTCTTCTTAGAAAGTTGGACCGATCGCGAAAACCAGGGCAGACGTTGACTACCGTCCATGACCGGAACGGAAGTCATCGGACCAAGAAGAGCGGGAAAGAATCAGACGCTTTCGCTGACCTGATCCTCCTCCCTCGCACGGTTCAAGACTCGGACGATAGTCAGGTCTCTCAGAGCAAGACGGTGAAGGAAGGCCACTAGGTGCAGAACCTGAACCTGGGCTATCGCTCTACCTCCCCCTTCCTTGCACCTTCTTGCTCGCATTCTTCTCCTTTCATGACCTTGCCCATCTTGCTCGTCAGACATGAGACAACAACAAGCGCTAGAATGAAGAGAGCTCTCCTTTCCTCTTCTCTTCCTCTTCACATACTTCCTCTCTCACATCAAGTGATAGCCTTCCATCGGGCTCTGCGTGCCCTGCCCAGCAGGACTCCAGCCAGACGGCGACCGGTCGTGCTCGGAAGGCTGCGGAGAAAGCGGAAGGCGGAGAAACTTTCGCTCCGACATGCTTCGCTCGGCAAGTCTCTCATGCAGGAAGACCATCCTACCGTCCCCGTCGGTGACTGCTGGAGGAGCGCGAACTTGATCGCTGGTTCCTGTCAGGTGCTGGTACCGCCGCACTTGATAGAACTTGGCGAGAGCTGCCTGATCTATGGGGCTCGCTCTCTCCGGCTCCTGCGCCTTGAGCGAGTTGATCCAATGCTCTGCTCCTCTGCTCCTTCCATCTCCGTCTTCGTTCATGTCCAAGGTCCTCGGAGAGCGACCTTCTTCCCTCCTCCTCCTCCTCTCTCCTCGTCCTCTGACCGAGTCCTGCTCACACGTCAGGCCCATCTTGCCGTCAGGTCATGGACCTGTCGCCGAGGAGAGGAGAGGCTTCCGTTATGCAGCTCCTGCAGCAGCTTCTGCTTCTGCTCCCCGTGATCTCTGCACGTGCAAACCAGTCAGCTCCGACCGCAACGTGCACCTGCCAACCTGTTGGCCTGCTCCATCCTCATGACCGCACTGGGGTACACCATCCGCTCGGGAGAGGAAGGCGATCTCCCGCGAGGAGCTGGAGGACGAGCCTGACCCTCACCCTCCTCTCCCCTCATCGTTCTGCTCGAAAATCCTTCGATGCCATAAGGGGTCGACGGCGACCTGGTCCTTTCACGATGCTGCAAGTCTTGATCTCGAAGCTCGACGCTACCATACCGATTCTTGAACATCGCTTCCATCCTATCCCCTAGCTCCTTGCACATCCTCTCTACCTTCTCCCCCACCCCCTCTACCTCCGCCTGCTGCTTCTCCATATGCTTCATCCCCGCATGGATCTCGTCCACCGTCATCGTCAGCAGCTTCAGCATGAACAAGATCGAGTGATCCCTGTACCCCCACCCTTCCCGTCAGACGCCGCCCTCCTCCCTCCCTCC